TGAATTTGAAGGGGAGTTTCGTGTTGGAGGAGTCGGGGGCTTGTTGGGGGTGGTGCATGAAGATTGGGAGGAGTTGGTCCATGGCCATGCTGTGGAGGGCGAGGATGGCGTAGGAGAGGAGGTTGAGGTTTGATTGCTTGTTGAAGACTTCCCAGACGGAGGGGCCGGCCACTTGGGGTGTCTTGGGTCCTTGCCATGTGGTGTCAAATGGCTTGCTGGAGGAGTGAGAGTTACTGCGGGAGTGGGTGTTGTTGAGCAGAGCAGCTCCGAGCTCATCGTCGTCATAGTCGCGGTTTCGCCTCTTCTTGCGGGACTTGACACACCGAACCAGCCTCTGGCCGATATAAATCCCGTAATCGGGTTTGTTCTTGCGAGTCTCTAGGGTCTCTTTCAGAAACAGGAAGCCGACAATAATGCCGACGGCAAAGAAGATGGACGCTATCATATTAGGCAGCGCGAAGGGAAACTTTGTGAGCAACTTGTTGTTGCCGAAGAGTCCAGGAAGATTGACGGCCGGAGAAGCAAAGAAACCACCAAAGGCTGGTCCCAGGATACTACCAAAGCTCCATACGAGAGGCATGACTGAGAACGCACGGGGCTGAAGGCTCCTTTCAGGCACCATTTCCGCGACCATGGTTCGAATGATACCAACTACCGCTATTTAGCTTTTGGGCTCTGAACGAAGGGACTGATCACAACTAACCATTTCCGTTTCCTCCGCCGGAGAGAGCTCTCGCAATAATCGCCCAAGTAAGTGATGTCGAGAAACCCCACAATATACTCATGATCATAGTCGAAGTAAGCCCCAATAAGATCACCGGTTTGCGGCCGAACATGTCCGACGCTCTACCCCATATTATGGCCGTAATGCTCTGGCTCAGACTGAATACAGCACTTGTGATTCCTATAAATCCGTGAGTCTCATGTTTCATATGTTTCACGCGGGAAGACGGTGGTGTCTTACCTGCCCACTTAGCTACCTCTTGCTTTTTGACCCCGAAACTCTCGATCATTTCGGGCTTCTGGAAGTTAGCTTTGTACGCAATATAAAGTCAATGTCATTTGAGGCATAGAGGTTGATAGAAAGATTCCTCTTACCAGATACGGAAAGACGCTCGTTGCCGCGATTGGCTCTGCGAATCTACATATTGCTACCGAGGATATCAGCGATCGGCATCCCATCAAGAAATGAACAGAGCAGATTTACCCAGTATGATCAGCTGCCGCACAGGCAGCTTTGGCTCACGGCGAGACATCTTGGTCATCTTAATATCCCCTCAGGACGACAGCGGATGAGGTTTGGGTTGCCCTATGGGCGTCTCGTATACGTAACCACTACGCTTCTGGGGTGCATGAAAGGCAAAATGGTTCTTTATAGTGGATATAGTATGGTTGGGCACAAGATCAAAGCCAGTTTAGCCATAAGATTATTATAGATATATGTTTATAGATGCAAACAGGCAGTACAGGAAGCAAAACACGACAAGATCAAAGAAGAGGAGGAGGAAGGCTGGAGGAGCTGCGAGGAGCTAGAAGAAGATATCAAGTCACGTGATACGATGACTCTATGATCGGGCAATCGTTGCTTATAAGTCCGTTGAACACCCCGAGGTCGGATTACCTAAAAGAGGGGCAAAATGGTGGGGTATATGGTCACGTGATGCTGTGATTGCAATCATTTGTGATGATTACAACCAATTATAAGGCGTGATTGGGCCGTTCATCCGTGCTCAACCAATCAGAGCGTTCTGTCAAAAGCTTGAGTGGCTATTCCTTCAACACACCATCCTATTTCAGACTAGTGTACACTAGCGTGCAAGTGTACCTAGCTTACTATACGGAGCGGATGAATTGCCGACGCCGAGGCCACCAGGTACCTCTTGCTTGTACCTCCACACTTTGGCAGTTCCTAGTGCTACTTCCAGCCACTCTACCCACTCTAACCACTTCAGCCATCGGTACTTCTTATCCTGCCTTGTTATCCTACGCGTTACATGTACTACCCACCAAGGCTAACGAGCTTGGGAAGGAGGTCAAGCTTCATATTCCTACTTACACTTCTTCCCCTCCTCCAATTGCGAATTCACTGATCGTCACTTCATTCCGCCTCGGACTTCATATCGCGGGCATTGTGCCTATATATGTATGCACATACTGCCCTCACCTTCACGTCAAGGTCATCTACCAGCTGCCATGGCTCCCGATGACCGCACACCTCTCCTTGGAGCTTCTTCGACAGCTCAGCCAGCTCGACTGCCTCAACAACAAAGTTCGGCCGCTGTTCATCGACGACTCGCATATATCGCTACAGGATCATTGGCTATTGCCTTTGTCATCCTCGTTCTGATTCCAGCGGCCTTTATCCCCCACCTTCTCGACGATCTCGTGCCCTCGCGCGGCAAGTTTCAATACGCCGACCTCGAGAATCTGCTTCTGAACAGTCCCAGCACGGAAAAGCTGTCAGAATGGAGCAAATACTACACCTCGGGTCCTCATCTGGCCGGGACCAACCTCAGCCAGGCTGTTTGGACACAGGAGAAGTGGAAAGAGTTTGGAATTGAAGACTCAAGTGTTGTTCCATACGATGTTTACCTGAACTACCCTCTCGGACATAGACTTGCACTCTTGGAGAAACCCAGCAAGGGACATTCGAAAGATGACGAGGCAACATGGAAGGTCAAGTTCGAAGCTTCATTGGAGGAGGATGTGCTGGAAGAAGACCCGACGACTGGCGCTTCCAATAGGATCCCAACATTCCACGGTTATTCTGCGAACGGCAACGTCACCGCACGATATGTATATGTCAACTACGGCACATACCATGACTTTGAGGACCTGATCAAGGCCAATGTCTCCCTGGAAGGCAACATCGCCATCGCAAGATACGGCCATGTCTTCAGAGGCCTGAAGATTAAGCGTGCGCAAGAGCTGGGCATGGTCGGCGCAGTCCTTTTTACTGATCCTGGTGATGATGGGACCCCACTCCATGATATGTCTGAAAATTACCCAGATGGACCTGGCCGCAACCCATCCAGTGTCCAGCGTGGAAGCGCTCAGTTCCTGTCCATGGGACCCGGCGACCCTACCACGCCTGGCTACCCTTCGAAGCCTGGAGTACCTCGATCCCCAACAGACGACAATATTCCACGGATTCCCTCTATTCCCATATCGTATACCGACGCGATTCCAATCCTCAAGGCGCTCAATGGTCATGGCCCAGTGCCGAAGGACTTGAACAAGTACTGGAATGTCAACCTTGGTCTCGTGACGCGTGGTGTTCACTACAATGCCGGCCCATCCCCAGAAGGTCTTGTTTTGAAGCTAGTAAACGAGCAGGATTACAAGATCACACCTATCTGGAACGTCATCGGTATAATCAACGGGACTCTTTCTGATGAGGTCGTTGTTGTTGGAAACCACCGCGACGCGTGGATCGTTGGAGGTGCTGGTGACCCTAACTCCGGATCCGCAGCTATGATGGAGGTCATCCGCGGCTTTGGGCAGGCGCTCTCCAAGGGCTGGAAACCTCTCCGCACTATTGTCTTCGCAAGCTGGGATGGTGAGGAGTATGGTTTGGTCGGCAGCACGGAGTGGGTAGAAGAGTACATCCCTTGGCTGAGCGAAGCCAATGTTGCCTATGTCAACATCGACGTTGGCTGCAGTGGACCAAAATTCGTTGCGGCCGCCTCACCTCTGCTAAACAACCTCATCCACGAGGTGACCGGCAGGGTGCAGTCGCCGAACCAGACTGTGGAAGGGCAAACCGTTCGCGACGTATGGGGTGGTCACATCAGTACCATGGGCAGCGGCTCCGACTTCACCGCCTTCCAAGACTTCGCTGGCATCTCCTCGATCGACATCGGCTTCACCGCGAGCCAAGAAAGCGCAGTCTACCAGTACCACTCCAACTACGACAGCTACCACTGGATGGAGACCTACGGCGACCCAGGCTGGCACTACCACGCCACCATCTCCAAGGTCCTCGGCCTCTTCGTCGCCAAGCTCGTCGATTCCCCCCTCGTCCCCTTCCGCACCACCGACTACGGCACAGCACTCATCTCATACGTCCAGCAGATCCAGGACCGCGTCGACGACGTCCCGGCACTCCTCCAGGACCCGCTTCCGACCAACCCCAGAAGCTTCTACCGACTCCGCCTCCCGCCACAAGCACCTCCACCGCGGCCTCAAGCACATGCAGGGCTCCGCGCACCGCTTCCTCGAAGTAGCACGCGTCTTCGACGAGCACGTCGACGAGCTGCGCGAGCGCGCTGAGCACGGCTACGGATGGTTGAGATGGTGCGCGCGCCTGAAACTGTACCTGGGTGTCCGTAAGGCGAATTTCGCGATGAAGCTCCTCGATAGGAAGTTCTTGCATGCGCCGGGTCTGACGGGGAGGAGTTGGTTTAAGCATGTGATTTTTGCACCGGGATTGTGGACTGGGTATGCTGGTGGTGAGTTTTCCTGATCCCCGTGATGTGATGTAAAGTGTGTGTTTGCTAACGAGGTGTAGCGGTGTTTCCTAGTCTGGCGGAGGCGATTGATAATGAGGATGGGATGGGAGCGGTTGGGTGGATGCAGATTATTGATGATAAGATCATTAAAGCGACGAAGAGTTTAGAATTATATTGAAGATACTTAAGATAGATCATCGTGGTATTTTGGGAAAGGTCCTTGGATGCGCATTGGTATATGAATTCTGAGACTAGACAGGATAGTGGAGCATAGTTGAATATGACGCCCTGAAATAATATCTAGAGATAATTAAGTGATTAAATGGTGAAAAAATATATTAATCCGCATATTAAAAATATTACGCACAAGCAATTGCCCTTGGGATTTTTACACAAACACACAATTCTCACATACCACCCACCTACAACCACAATGATAAAAACTTGGACAATACCACGCGCATTACATTCATACATGTCGCATGCAAAAAAAAACTGCAAAAAACTGCAAAAGATGATGAGAGAATCTGTAGAGAAACTCGGGATTTGAGCCCGAGGCGGGGATCGAACCCGCGACCTCACGATTATGAGTCGTGCGCTCTAACCATCTGAGCTACCCAGGCAGGGTGATTGTTGGGTGATGTTCCGTGTTCTGCTAGTTATGGGGGGAAGTGTGTGCGCGCAGTAAAATTAGCGTGGACTTCGGTTAGGGGAGGGCTTCGACGGAGGGGCACGGCGAGGACTGTGATCCTAATGGAACCATGAATTTAACGGGATAGACATGGTTGGATTTATTTGACATGAAATTCCTTGTGGATGATGCTATTTGCGATGGTTTATTGCTTTATATTTTTGCTTTTACTTGGAATTATATTTCTCATTCATTAAACCTATGAAAATAGAAATAAATCCTGCTCCTCCAAATTTTCTATAACTACACTTTTCAACATCACAACACGAATTTGCAAATGCACAAAGTTATGGTTCATAATGCTTTAATAAATTTCTAACGTTTACTTTTAAATCCCCGGCACAACAACTCCATTGCTTATATACCCAGGAACGTTTCCTATCCATCCTCCCCCTTTATCTCCACCCCCTCTTCCTTCTCACCATTCTCATATTTCCCCAAAATCCTCCAATCCCCCTTCCCATCTTTCCCCTTCCACTCCCACACTACTCTCCCATCATTAACCGCATCAACCAGCTCCTTTCCAGCAACCTCCCTCTCCCCACTCTCCGCATCCCATACCCATCCCTCCCTCAACCAGCACCACCTCAGAAAAGCCCTTAACTCTTTATCTTTCGGAATCACACGCATCCATTCAGGCTGGAATCCTTCGTCTTCCGCCTCTTCGCCATTCCAACCCTTCGCCAACCCTCTGAGTTCATCTCTGCAGAAGATCCTCCAAGAGTCAATCGCGTAGGGTCCTTTAGTCAGGTGGCCAATTTCCCAGGCCCTTCGCGCACGTCGTCGTCGGAGAGGATTTCGCCTTTCTTGATAGTCGCGTGGGCGTTCTTTGTAGGGTAGTTTTCAACGCGGTATCTCTTCCCCTTCACCGGCGGATCATCCAAGAATGTTTTGGCGTAACGAATATAAGTATCTGCTCGCACGGATTGCAAGCCCAGATGGCGAGTCAACTCTATAATGACGCCCTTGTCTGCGCTCGCGAGGTCGGTAGCGGTAGGAAATAGCTCTATAAGCTTGTAGTATATGGGAATCGACGACTTCCCATACGTGCGGATGAGGAATGTGACACCGATAAGGAGACGGAGCGGGTCATGGCGTAGCTTCTCTTGGAGGAGGCCGAATGAAGGCGAGGAGAGAGGCGGGAATGGGATGCAAGAGACTACACCGCCAGGGGAGCGGAGTGGCTTCTTTGGTGATACTGCTGGTGAGAAGTAGGGGGATTTGGTGACTGCCTTTTCTTTTTTGACTGGGGAAAGTGTGGTAGCGGGTTCTGGAGGTTGTAAGAGCAACTTGTTTGGGGACTGCGCGAGGCGTGGGAGGATGACTGAGTTTCTTCGCGGGTGGATGGGTTTTGGACGGGTTGGACTCTCTAAATCGTCTGCTTCATCACTGGAGTCGCCTAGTGGTGGCGTGGAGCTTCGAACCATCTCGTATTTAAACGCTGGCTGCTTTGTAGATGTCATAGTTTGGACTGCGTCTATAGAGGACCTTTCCCGCGATTGGGATCTGGTTACCCTGAGATCAAATTCATCTAGGGCAGAGCCGTCCCTGCTCTCATCTGAATCTGCCTCACTTTGAACGCTTAGACTATAAGCCGAGACCTTTGCTTCGCCATCAGTTTCAGCGCCCTCGTCTTCGACTGGCTCATCCTTGGTATCAACTATGGCTTCCTCATATGCACCCGGCGGTATAATCCTAGTTTCTTTCCTCACTTTCGATTCTCCTAGCCCTCTTTCCACCTCAGTAGCACCCGTGACGGGAGAGCTGGATTCTCTGCGACTGATGTACATCGTATTACCCGCAACTTCCAGGGCCTGACCACCACTCGCAGGGTCCTGGCTCCCTACGAGTGGTGTTCTTTTAGCTCACCGACTGCCACGAGCGCTTCAGTCTTATTTTCATCACCGACGGATTTCCGATTACCGCGCTTGCGGCGTTTGTTGCTCGCGGGGTTTGGTGCTGGGATCTCTGATAGAGGTTGCGTAGTTGGGATTATAGGCGTAGTAATCGGTTTGCTGGCTGGTTCGTCGACACATAAATCCATAGGTTCGGGCACCGCTTCTACAGCAGCGGGTGTGCTGGTAGGGATTTGCGTGTTTGTATCAAGTGCCTTCTTGGGAGGCGGCGGGCCACGCTTTCTCTTACGCTTGGCGGCTGCATTCAAACCAACGTCGTTGGCCTCTTCCTTGACAATCGGCTTGGACTCTGCTTCAGGTTGGGTGTTTACAGCCTCGACAGGCGCAATAGGTTCTGGCTTAATAATAGCATCGGTCTTGACAAGCTCGGGCGTATTTGAATTTGAGCCAGCGTCAGTTGCAGTAGTCGACTTTCGTGCGCGCTTCTTCTTCTTTGGTGCCCGAAGATCAATAAATCCGTCGTCCGCAGCCACAACTGGCTTTGGGGCGTTGGGAACGGCTACAGTCGGAGGCTTAATAGCTGGTGGGAGGATCGGGGTTGATCCAGGGGTGGGCTTGTTCTTAGCGCCCCTCTTCCTCTTATTCGAAGACTTCTCGGTGGGCTCTCCGTTCTCTGCTTTAATAGTGGCTGGTGTAAGCATAGCTGCAGCATTGATCTGCTCAGTAGGTGCTGTAACGGCGACCTGCGTGATTTGGGCAATTGTTGCCGGGCCTGTCTGTGTGTCCGCAGCTGGCACCACAGCCAGTGTATTTGCTAATGCTGCCTTGGCTTTGTTTTGTATGAATGCCGCCTTTCGTTCTTTTCTACTCAGTTTAGGGGCCTCAGCGGCGGGTTCGACCGATTCAGCCTTTGCCGCGACAGCAGCTGCTATAACGGCAACTGGCGTTACTGGGGGAGTATTCGCCGATGCTGCCTTGGCTTTGTTTTGTATGAATGCTATCTTGCGTTCGCGTCTGCTCAGTTTAGGAGCTTCGGGGTTGAGTTTAGCAAATTCGGCCTCTGCCGCTTTAGCAGCGATGTTTGCTTTTTGTCGTTTCGATCTCCTGTCGTTAAGCATCACTTTTTCTGGTTGGCTTTCCGTTGTTGCTGTCTCGCTCAAAGGTGTTCCTCCGATGTCACTCTCGACTTTCGGCTTATTTGCATCCTCGCTCGAAGGTGTTCCCCCAACGTCACTCTCGACCTTCGGCTTATTTACCTCCTTACGGAAACGTTTCCGCTTCGCAGGAGGAGTCGTATTCTGTGCGGCGTCCTGCGGTACCCCATTAGCGTTAAACAAGTTGCCGACAGTCTGTTGAACGCTTGCGAGAACCTCAATGGCATCGGTCAACTCCAGCCCAGGCATCTCAAGTGCAGTCAACTTGCTCTCCAACTTGACTCCCTTAGCCCTGCACAGCTTCTCCTGTGCGCTCTTAGCTTCAACCAGTGCCTGGTTAGCCCCCAACCCCAGCCCAATGCCAAAAGTCTGCACCTCCGTAAGATAGCATTCTAGTTGATTGACGCTCGGGGCCCCAGGTATAGTCTCAACGGCGTGCTTCTGTGCGAACTCTGCGACTATGGCGGCGCGCTGGTGGTATTTTAATAAAGACCTAGGGGTATCAGGAAGGCCACTACGAGTTTGTGACTTTGGCGTCGAAGGGATCGGTTTTGTTTTCACTGGTGTGGCTACCTGAGCTGCTTTGCAGGTGTTCAGGAGGAAATTGACATCTTCTTTAGGCGCCTCACGAAGGTGCGCACGCAAGAACGCCCTGTCGCTGTCAGACTGAATATCGAAATCGGCGAAGACATCAGTGCTGACACCCCCATCTTCGTCTTCTGATCTTGGGGTCGTCTCGTCTGACGATGCCGGAGGAGTCGAGTGGCGTGGATGCGACGAGGGAGGGGCCACAAAATCGGGATGCTGTTTCACGCGCGTTAGTGGATGCTTTAATGGCGGGGTTTGCAATCGCGGTTGGGTGAAATTAACTTACAATATCCGATTCCGTATCCTCTACAGCATTCTGAAATGCGCCGTTGGTAAGTGGTAATAGCGGCGGTAGAGCACCGATCGCAAAACCAACACCTGCATCGCTATCGTCGGCCACCTCGATGCTCTTCTTGATACCAGAGGCTTTCGCCTCAGATTTCGCACTCAAAGGAGACGAAGATGCTTGCTCAAGCGCCATAGCCACCCTTTGCATAGCAGGTATCTTGTTCAAGCTTTTTTCCCTCCTCGCAGCCTGTCTGGCCGACTCGCTGCTCGACTGGCTAGGTGAAGGGCGCATTTTCACCGTCCTTCAAATCTGGGATTTCCAATTGATATAAGACAGCTCCAACTGCACATGTATATCAATTGAAATCGACCAGCCCGTGAATTGACCTTGTCGTGGATTTTGAGAGCGTAGAAGACCCCTCTGCGATTGTCGTGGAGTGCCTGAATATAATTTCTCGATAAGAATCTAGCTAGCTTATCGGGGAAGATACTTTTCTCTATCGGGCCAAGCACTATTGTCGGAGCTCTCGGCAAGATTTCCAGGGCAGAACGGATTGCCGAACCAGATGTGCCCGTTCAATTCCAGGCTTTGAAGTCGAGATGACACAATGCTAAAGTCGAAGACAATGCTCGTTCCCCATACCAGGCTCTATTAAAGCACTGAGAATTGCGAATCACGTGAAATTACTTGGGCATTAATAACAAGGCCAGTTTTCAACCAAGTTACAAAAGAAATAAGACGGTATATTGAGATTTAGGTCTCGTATCTTCTAGTAGACTATTCTCTTTGTACAACCAAAACGTAGAACTAGTACAATACAACAGTGTAATATGCGTCGTTGCATTCACTCCCTTCTTCCTATCCATGCCTCTCGCTCTAACTCACACCATCGATCCTTCTACTTTCTTGGTCCACCAACCTTTGGCGGGTTGTAAGCGATCTTCCTTGTCTTCATCGGAGCCCACTTGTATCTCTTAACCCAGATGCTGAGAGCCAGTAGCGCGGAGGACATAATCAGAACCTTCATTCCCATCTTCTTGCGCTG